TTCCCTGTCTGGGGCCTTTTTCAATGGCCATGGCCAGTATGTGTAGCAAGAAACACAGAGATGAACACGTGTGTGCAAACACAAGCCCACACACAGCCTTTATGTGGCACAGAAAACCCAACAAAAGCCTGTCCCCTCCACCCTATTGTAGCATCTCTGGGTCAGGAGAGCCACCCTGGTTGAATCCTGCCTGCCGCACCGTGGTTGAAAAGCCTCCAGTCTGGAAACCCTGCCTGCGTCATGGAAAGCAGATTAGGAAAGCAGGACTCTATCTCGATGACAAGTAGTAACATTGGACGTCGTGACACCAGGACATGAAAATCAGGCACTAACAGGGTGTTTTTTCAGTTTTAGATTAATTAATTCCTTATAAATACCTCTCTGGGAATCTTATGAATTGGTTTGGAATGTGGGACCAGATGGTGGTGCTAACTGCAGGTTAATTAACGCAGAACGCAAGAGCGTGATGGGCTGTGAAAGATGCTGAATGATTGACAGAATAACTCCAAATAGGTCGAAAGGGGTGGGTGGGATAGTGTAATCCTCCCAGGTCTTTGAATAAACATTAATGGGTTTGTTTACTTCTTTTTTTTCCCCCCTGCAGTCGATATTAGAGAAATTAAAGAGATCCGTCCGGGGAAGAATTCCCGGGATTTTGAACGTTATCCAGAAGATGCCCGGAAGCTGGATTCGGCCCTGTGTTTCGTCATCTTGTACGGAATGGATTTCAGGCTGAAGACGTTGAGCCTAGCTGGTCAGTGAGGAGGGTTGGGGGCAGAGACCTCTGGCATGGGGAGGGGGAGGGGAGGCAAAATTGATCTGCTTGGAGGATCACGATGTTTGCTGCCTCTGCAACCGATCTGCCTTGCAGAAGTGAAAAATCCAGATCCACTTCAGTGCATTAAAAAAAAATAAAGTCAATATTGACTTTCCCTGGGGCAATTTCAGCTCGAACGGAAAGGTGCCCTCTCATATCGGTCACTTTCCACTGCTTGCTTAAGAGTTTCCACTTTTTAACCTGGAAAATTATGGACGACACGCCCATGCTCTCCTTTTGGCACAGAAGATAGAACAGCTAGGATACAGCTGGCAAGCCTGTGCAGGTCTTGCCTCCGCTTTGGATTGAGTAAACTGAGGCTGGCGGTCCTTGCCGCTAGCTTAAATTAACATAGATTACCATTTGCTTTTGAGAGCAGTAGGCTTGTGTTACATCCTTAGATAAACACCTAGGTTTGTTCTGGGCTGCGAGGAAAGTTGGCAGGGACAACCGATGTCAGCAAAAGGGAAGGCAGTGACATCTTGGCCCGTATCCTGCAAACTGCGTGATGGATGGTCATGGCCTTTGTTCCTGTCAGCTAAGATTTCATCCTAGCGTTTCAGCATTCTTTTCTGCGCAGAGGAACGGATTCCTTTGCTTCTAACTGGGTCATAAACTCATTTGTAAGATTGCATGCAAAGAGGAAATCATCAGCAGCTTCCTGAAAAGGAAGGTTTCCACTTGCAGCCATGGTTCCAGAGAGCTTAACTGCTCAGCAGACAATGCTGTTCCTTGAAGAATCACAGCTTTTCCATTTCTGGAAACAATTTCATGTCCAAAAACGTTTTCAGGCCATGTTGCTGGAGCCACCTTTTAGCTTGGAGGGGGCTGCCCCTCCCACAGTCCTGCACCCAAGCTTGTCACCTTCGGCGTTTGGGGCATTCGCGAAGTTTGAAATCCAGTTGAATAGTTTAGTTGATCTCTGAAACGTCTTACAATTCAGATGTGACGGTAGGTAAATTCGTACATGTATATTTACAGATAAACCAAATGGCGGGTTGAGATCAAAATCGAGTTTGTCTCCTCCACTGGCTATTAAGAGGTTTTCTGAACTTTTTTAAAGAGTTGGGAGAACTAGCTTCCCGTTGGGCTCTTAGTTCTCTGTAAATACTTCGGAATGGTGGCTTGTCTTCAAATCTTGATAACAGAAGGCCGTTTCAAAAGACTGTTTAATAAAAATCAGAATAAACGGCCTTGTAGTGGCTACAGCAGATGTACATGGAAGGGATGAGATTTCTAAAATCCTAGCACTTCCAGTCCCATATGTTGCCTCTGCATGCTTCTGGAACTAGGAGAGGAGAAACTGGAAGGCAAAGCAGATGTCTTTCTACCGCCATCCCCTCAGTCCCACTGCATTCTGGGAGTCGTCGCGGTGGTCTTTGGGAAGAGTAGTCTCGCCACCCAGTAGACTCTAGAACCGTGGTTCCCAACCAGATGGGTCTCCAGATGGTCTTTGGGCGAAAACTCCCAGAAGCCTTCACCGTCAGCTGTTTTGGCCAGGATTTCTGGGAGTTGTAGTCCAATAGCATCCGGGCACCTCAGGTTGGGGACCATGGCTCTAGAGGGAGAGCTTGTCGTCGGACTAACTCTTCCCACGAAGTACTGGAGTGACTCCCGGGAAGCAGCGAGACGGAGGAGATGTTCCCATCTTCTTTCCGATCCCTTTTTGCCTTTTGGTTTCTCCTCTTCCAGTCCCCCAGAAGTCTTCCTGGGGGGATTCCTGATGACGCCTGGAACGGGACCTCCTAGAATTACAAAAATCCCATCTTTACTACAAAACAGGATGTCCCTTGTTTGAAGCTTACCTGTGCCATAAATTTGCCAGTCTGAAGTTTACGGTGTCGGAGCTGCAGCATCTTCTAGTCAGCAATATGGGAGATAATACAGTATTGTCCCGCTTTAGAGGATTCTTACAGACATTCTGACTAAAGAGTGCATGTGAATCGCTTTAAACATAGGAACAAGATCTGTTGAGTCGTCCTGGCCAGAATCCCATTGGAATTCGACTCGGAAGGAAGTGTAACTGACTATTTTGTGGCAGCAAATTGTGGCTAACTAAAAAGAAATGCCAGCCACATGACCAGCACCCTGATAATTAGCTGCAGTTCTTCCTCACAGCTTCTATGATTTCACTTACTCCAGAGTAACATCTCAGTAGGATTCTGGCCACTGTATAGCAGCTTCACATACAAAGAGAAGCTGGGCTTTTGTACAAGGGTTCAAAAGATTTATCCATTATGTGGAGAATTATTTCCTAGAACTGCCTTACTGGCAGCCTAGATGATCTTTACAGAATCTGGATTTCTGACAGTGTCCACAAGTGTTTCAGAAGAACTGCTGTCTCGGGAAGAGTTTAGAATGTGGTAGACGTGTTTGTGGAACTTAACTGGGCGTACGTGCCCTGTTCTATCATGATTTCTCCTTTATATACTGGCACTGGGTACCCTTTAATAACCCTAATGTTGGGGATCTTGAACTCTTCTACCTTAGGGGTCAAAACCATCCCTTTCTTGGGAGTCTAAGAGATGCACAGCTAAAAAAGAGAACGGTCCACTTCTGTCTCCCTACCATTAAAGACATTCTGCTTTGATGGTGATTTGTAATTCAGCAATGTCATTTGTTTTACTGTCTTATTTATTTGTTTATTTATTTAACTTATATGCCGCCCACACTACCCAAAGGACTGTGGGCGGCTTATGACAATTTAATAAATACAGTCAAAAGAGAAAACAATTAAAATATACACTCCAAAAAGTTTTAGGTAAAGAGATTCAATTTACTTTTTTTATTATTATTTAAAAAAAACCTAGCTATTCCCACTTTAGCTCCTAATCCTCAAAATTTACTTTTGGCCTTGCAGCTCTTGTTGTTGTGGTTTCCTTCTAATTCTGGAATGCGAAGGGTGGCGCCGTCCGGGCTTTTCCGCCTTGCCCTGGCCACGGGCCAGAGCAAATAAACGTCTTCTGACTAACAGAACATGGATGGGGTGTGGCATACCTGCCCCCACTTCTGTTTCTCAGCCTGTGCTGGGCAGGCAGGGTGTACAGTTTTATGCAATTCCAGCCCTAAAGAGGACCGGATGCCACAGCGCTCCTGCTCCAGTTTGACTAGAGCGACGTTTACTCTTGCCAGGATCGGAGGTGTTGCCAAGCGCAGGGTGCCTGGGCAGCACAGAAGGCGTTGCATCGGTAGAAGCATACTCTTTAAACCAGTCCCTGTTTGTCAAGTCTATGATTTAATCATTTCATGTGGATTTCCGTGTCCATGGGGATTTTATCTGGCCCGTGGATATAAAAGGAATTTGCCCCAGGGAATCAAAAGAGACCGTTCTAAGTGTCTTCACTAGAAGCCGTGATTCCGGAATATGGGAAATCAGTCCGAATTCTGAATAAAAAAAAGATGCTTTTTGCATTGCTCACGACCCATGAAAGGTTCTGAAACCATTTCTGGGGTGACGGCAGAGGTTTCGTTAGAGTCACACAACTCCCCGGAGTTGTGAGGAACGGCGCAGAGAACCAAAGACGGTTTGGCTGGTGGCTGTTCTTCGGAGCCGTCCGGGTCTCCTCTCCCCCTGTGCCAGTGACCCAATGTGGCATTCTTCTCCACGCCAAAGGGAACGGTTAAGATTGGTACATCTTTGCCAGGGCCCTCCTTTCACAGCAGACCTTCGCACCTTCTTCGGTGGAGATTGCCGAAGGAAAACACTACATGGCATAACCTTGGAGGCCGGGCGCACTGGAGGTGGACTGAGGGTTGCGTGTGAGAAACTGGGCCTCTGTCCCGCCTCCGACATTCACGACAGACATTCCTTTGGGCCAGAAAAACACACACAGAGAGAGGACGTGGTCTGTTTCTCTTTCCTCCTTCACCTTCTGTTGTTCTCTTTTCTTTCTCAGCCTTTTGCGAAGATGATGTCAATCTCTGGGTGGCAGGACTGAACTGGCTGGTGGCCGACACACAGCGAGCCCAGACACCACTGCAGATCGAAAGGTGCGGGAGAGGGAGAGGAGATGCGCTTTGGTACAGCTGAGCGGCCGGAGAGCTCCGTGGCTTTAGGCACTTGGCTGAGGTTGAGAGTTCAATTCCCCCCCGCAGTGCTCTCCGTGAGAGGGGCTGGACTCGGCGATCCATGGGGTCCCTTCCTGCTCTGCGGTTCTAAGATTATTAAGCAGGAGAGGGATTTTAGAAAACGTACAATTCATGGTCTCACGTAGGCATCTATTTGTAGGGACACCACTCTTTTTTTGACTTCTTTTTTTGGTTTTTTGCCTATTTAACATAACAATATAAACTTAAATGACACTAAAAAGAAAAAAAAGAGAGTTTAAAATGAATCAAACAGAACTGAGAGAACAAAACATAACAAACAGATGGATAAAAGGTCAATACAACAACACAAAATAGTGGTCAGATCCAGCCACGCATGTGCCCGCGTATGGAAGGAAGGAGGTGCTGTGTTCAAAAACATTTATAGAAGAGCAGAATTCTGCCCTTCCTGTGAGCAAAAAAAAAACCCCAACAACCCCAGTGTACATTTTCCAGAAGATACCGTATAAAACGTTCAGCCTCTTGTGCCATGTGGCCGTTTTTCTGCCTCTGCGGTTCCTCCTGTAAGCTTCATGCACTCCTTCTCTCTCGTTTCTATAGGTGGCTGAGGAAACAGTTTGACTCCATGGACAGATCAAGAGAAGGCAGGTGAGTGAGGGGGCAGGGGGGGCCTTTCCTGTGGTGGCATCTGAAGGGTAACAGTCGCTCTCTGTTGATGAGCTGATCCACGTTTGCATCCTTCCCCCAGTTAGGTTAGCGGCCCCCTCCTTCCTGGTGCTGCTCATAGGCCGCGCGGTCGCGCTCTCCTCATCCCGAGGCTGCTACCCTTCCCTCACAGCCCCGGTCCAGCCATCGGTGGCCCGAGATGTTCTGCGTTCACTTAACCGCTCAGTGGGACTAAGAGGGAAACCAACCCTGGGATCTGGAGGCTTTTCAAAGGACAGTCAGAAAAGATGTGGACCCTGGTTTTTTACACGAGGGTAGGAGCGCTCCTTCGTGGTTCAGTTGCCGCGTGTCGGATGGCTGGAACGAGTCAAAGTGACGGGGGGCTGCCTTTTTGGAGAAGCTCTTCAATCGGAAACATCCACTCAGGTCTTCGTTAGAAGGCAGGGCAAAGGAGATGTTTTGCATTTCTTCTATATGGTTGCTAACGTATCAGTGATGCTTTGAAAGTTTTTTTTTTAAAGCCCTGTCGAAGCATCGCTGATTCGCTGTGTCGGTTACCAACCGTTAAAAAGAAATGCAAAGCAATTTCCCCTGTCTTGCCCTCCAAAGGAAAGCCCAACGGAAGTTTTCAATGAACCGCGTTCTCAAGGGATAGCCTTAACAGTCGTGAGAACTCTTTCCCTTTCAAAGCATCCTCTACAGTTCAGGCCTGGTAAGCAACCCATCTTTAGAGAAAAGGGGGAAGAACCTGGGCCCACGGAGCTCAGAGGGATGACGTTTATAGGCAGTGCGACAGATGTCTTCCCAGAGCTGTGGTGTAAAATGATGGAGCACATTTGTGTTTTCGTACTCTGGAAATGTGAGACACAGATAGATTCAGTTTATAGGCAAGGAGGATTCAGACCAAGTCTTGGCAGAATGTTCTTGCTAATGAGTTGTGTAGAGAAATGTGTTGCTGGGAAAGAACGATGGAGAAAGGGACTTCTTTCATGGTGCTGGGCTTGGACTCTGTGAAGTCTGAGGTCCCTTTGCACTCTTTGGCTTCTGAGATGCAGCATGATCAGAGTATAAAGGGGTCGGGAGGGGGCTCCTGTCAGCAGAACAGCTCCGTCTCTTTCTCCCCATAGCAGATCATCTCCTGCCACAGTATCATCTCCCCATCCCTGGCTCCTTTCTCAGTTCGCTGTCTCCTTTTGTTATACCCGTCCGCCACATGATCTTTGAAATTCGGTGAAACCCTGGAGCTTCCAGCTGATTGAGTCTTGCAAAATAAGCATGTAGAAGAAAAACAGACTTAATTGGCATGGCGTAATCTATCGGATTGCAGACTTTGCAGTACCGTGCCTTCTGCTGTGTGAAGAGACTGGGTTTTTGTCAGGAGGGGAGACACACACACAGAGAGACAGAGACACACTTACACACACACACACACGTGTCTTAGGGCAGTAACTAGAGACACATTGTGAAAGAAAGTCAACCTGAGAGAGGATTTTTGCCACCTTTCAACCAAGTGGGATTCTGTTGATGGCCCCTAGTCAATGAAGCTAAATAAGAAAAAAGCTGTACCCTAAAATTAATATACAGTGGTGCCTCGCAAGACGAACACTTTGTTTAACGAAGAAATCGCATAACGAAGTTTTTGCGATTGCAAAAGCGATCGCAAAACAATGTTTCCTATAGGGTTTTTTTGGTTACCTGCTTCGCTAACCGATTATCACAAAACGAAGATTTTCGCACAGCTGATCGGCGGTTTCAAAATGGCTGCTGGATTTTAAAAAATGGCCGCCCGCTGTTTTCTGGGACGGATTCCTCACTGTACGGGCAGCGAAAATGGCCGCACTATGGAGGATCTTCGCTGGACAGTGAGTTTCACGCCCATAGGAACGCCTTAATTGAGTTTTAATGCGTTTCTATGGGCTTTTAAAAATCGCTTTACGATACTTTCGTTCTACAGTGATTTCAGTGGAACGAATTAACATCATAGTGCGAGGCACCACTGTAATGCATCCAAAGGCCTGAGAGCCTGTCTGGTGCCATGGATAGGAGACCCGGGTTCAAATCCTCACTTGGCCATGGACATTAATATCGGGGTGGGTGGCATTGTTAAATCACTTTTAAACATCTCACATACCTTGAGAACCCTTTTAGGGTTGCCATAACTCAGAAGCAGCTTGACAGCATGTTGCAACAAAATATGAGAGACTAAAACAGACCCCCCCCCTCATGTGAGGGTCCACGCCTGTTTAAGCATAACTGAGCCACCACAGTGGGTTTCTTTTACCCCTTTCCCCTTTGTACGTTTGACTCCTTCAGCTTCCCATGCATTTCCCCACATGACGGCCTTTTCCATTCTATTCCCAGGGAGCTTGGTCTACATATTTTTAAATCAAATTTTAGCACCCTTTTTTGGCCCATCTTATCGGGGGTTTCTCTATGTCTCGGGAAGATGAAAAGCTTCAAATCAAGAAAATGATTTCGGAAAGCAGAGCTTGGAAAACTTGGGTGTGAGGGACAGTACACAATTGCCCCAGGCCCAACAAATTCCTGGAGGTGAATTTCGTAAACACTCTCTTTCCAAAGTTCTTGAGCTAAACAGAAAAAGTAGCTGACGATATTTGCAAGGCGGGGGGGGGAGAGGGCAGATACCAGTTGCTCGCCACATTGAATGGGGTTACAGATTCTTCTCAAAGTACAGAGAGATTTCCCCCAATCCTGGAGTGGCAAATTTGCACCCCATTCTCTTGAGGTGTGGCCGTGACATACCGTAGGTTTACATACCTAGTGAGGGCTTGCCTCTAGCCAAGCCTGAGCCTCCAGCCTTTTCCGGGTGATTCTGAACATTCCGTGGCTCCCACCTTCCCTTGAAGGCTGTCCTCCTTTGACTCAGAGATTCGCTGTTCTTCTGAGCGGCAGATGATCAGTCTAGCGACGTTTATCAGATATGTTTCCTGGCTCCACATGTTCGCAGCCCCCCCTCCACCAAGTGCCACAGCTTCTAGGTGCTACCACTGGAATTCTGATGATTAAAAAGCGGTCACTTGGCGTGGGGTGGGGGTTGAGAAGACCCTGGACAAGACAGTAAGACAAGGATGGGCATCGCGACATCCACGGGCCACATGCAGCTTCCCCAAAGGACTAAAATATACGTCCAGCAGCTCAGGAACTTCCCAGGATAACCACACCAACGTTTGACAAAATGAGAAAGGTGGGGATGAAAAAGGCCACATCCACCCTCTAAAAAGAGGTTAGCACTTTCAAACCCTTGAAAGGCTGTCCTACAGAGGAGGGGCGGGATCTGTTCTCGATCATCCCAGAGTGCAGGACATACAGGAAGCCCAGATTTTTCGATCATCCCAGAGTGCAGGACATACAATCATGGGCTCAAGATACAGGAAGCCCAGATTTCGGTTGAATACAGTGCTCCCCCACATAGCGACGTTAATCTGTTCTGGATTAATCGTCGCTATGAGGAAACATCGCTAAATGGAACGGAAAAAGCCTATGGGGCCCAAACTCACCGTTCAGCGAAGTTCCTCCATAGCGCCCTTGGTAAGCGAGGAAACCGCGCAAAAAACACTTGCAGTGGCCATTTTGGGCACTCGGCGGCCATTTTGGAACCACCGATCAGCTGTTTTAGAAACATCGCAATGTGAAGATCGGTAAGCAAAACGCTTACCGATCATCGCAATGCAATGTTTTACCCATTAAAACATCGCAATGCAATCGCATTAGCGATCTAAAAAAATAGATCGCTATGCGGATTCGTTGTTAAACAGTGCGCTCGTTATGCGAGGCACCACTGTACCAGGAAAAACTTCCTAATTGTTAGAGCAGTACGACAATGGAACCCACGACCACAAGGGGAGGTAGTGAGCAGGGCTCCAACCCTGGAGGCCTTCAAGAGATATTTAGACAATCACCTGACAGATCTCCTTTGATTTGTATTGAGCAGGGAGTTGGACTGTGGCCTTAACGACCTCTTCCAACCCCCTTATTCTGTGATTCTCATTTAAAAGTCTCATCCTCTTCCAACTCCCTTATTCTATGATTCTCATTTAAAACTCTCACATTTCTAAGAAAAAAAGGAGGTTAAAGTTGTGGGAGTGGGAACAGATGCCTTTCTGCAAGGTCTAAGAGTGTGTGTCTGTGTAATGTGGCTGAGAGCCTGAAGAAAGCTGTATAGAAACCTGGAGGGCTATAAAGCAGCCGTAATAATGAACTTAGTCTTGAGTCAAACTAGGCTCAAAAACGGCCCAGCATGGGGCTCCTTTCCCCGAATAGGGCAAAGGACGGCCTTGGTCTTTTGATTTCATTTGGCAAATGGAAATTTCACTTGCCTTGTGACCATTGTGATTTATTTATTCTTCCCAATAGGAAACACACAAAGTCTGGGGTGGGGTCTGACTTCAAATCTGCCTAAATCAAAGGACGACTTGGAGGGCAGTGCTTCAGAAAGTAGACTTCCGTTGTAAAGGCCAAATGGAAAAGTTCCGTTTCCGAAAGAGAAATATACATTCGTTCATTCCTTTCATATCCTGCCTTTTCTCCCCGGTCAGAAGCAAAGAGCGCAGATTGTGAGTTGGAAATGAAAGCAGTGAAAGCCACACATATAAGTGGTTAGCATCGAAGCACAAATCGTACTGAAAATCAACAGCCCTGAATTAAAAGAGGAGCTCAACCGCCATCTTTGTAAGGACCATTGTTATCAAGGAACAATGCCTATCAAAATAAAAACATGCCAGTCCCCAGCTGCACAGCTAGAGACATCTACATTTCACTCACCTGGAACAGGATGTCCCTCCCGAGCTGCATGGACCTCTCTGTCCTTTGCTCCTTTTTCTTTCCTTATTTCTTTTCTTTTCTTGGTAGGGAGACAGGTTGCACCTCTGAACGTTCTCTGAGAATTCCCCCCCCCCACGAGGCAGTATTCAGGAAGTTCCTTCCCACCGATGCACCCACCTCCCTTGCACTCACCTGGACCAGGGCCTATTTTTCAGGCCTTTTGGCTCTATTTGGGCCTACTTAAAGTTCAAATTGCAAACTGTCTTTGCTGGGAAGTCTTGCAGTTCTCTGGATTGTACCCTCTATAGACAATCTAATGGGCAGTGTGATTCCACCTCCCACGAAAACAGGCTTCGATGGAATCACCACGGGAAGTTTTCTTTTTGTGTGCGTTAGCAACAGTAGGCCTGAGACAGGCCCGCAGCCTGGAAAATAAGGCCCTGTTCCAGGCGAGTGCAAGGAAGGTGTGTGCCTATGGGCTGGCACTCCTAGAATTCTGCCTGAGGGATTTTTGGAGAATTCTGGGAGTCCCCCCCCAACACCAAATCAAAACATGGATGGCACACCCTTGTTATGACACTGTTATTTAGGAAATCATTATGGCCATTTTCTTGTGCTGCTGTCTCGCCTCATCCAGGGAGCGATTTTAAGGTGTTTCTACGAAACATGGAGCTTGGCTAAATTCTTTTCCACAAGGATAACCCATTAGTCTGTCACAAAATCAGAAGGGAATCTAGGAACCTTAAAAAAATTAGCAAGTTTTATCTGACACCAGCTTTTCTGCATTTAAAAAAAGGGGGTTAGTCACCCATGAAAGCTTATGTCAAATAAACTTGGGGAGTCTTTGAGGGTGTTCCTCGGCTCCCCAGGGATGCTTCAGCTGAATCAGACCAACTTCATGGCTCTCTCTCCGGGACAGAGATCTGGGGAGGGAGGCCAAGAGAGGAACAGCAGAGGAGATGAGGGCCCCCCCCCCTTTGAGCAAGACACATCATCCTGGCCAGGGATCATCACTCCAGCCTTTGCTCCCCCTCCCTCACAACGCCGCACAATCAGTAAACAGGATGCTGGACCGGAAAGGACGGGAGTCCGTGCAGGAGCAGGAAGGGTGTGGGACCGGACGAGGAAAAAGTGGAGCGCTGGAGGGAGGGTGTGCTTTTCATCTGTAAAGATGACAAAGGACGTCACACTCCATCTGTAATTAGCCAAGACGAGAATTTGCTGTAATCCACAGAGATTATATTTTGTGAGGAATGAAGTGCTCAGCATTCTTTTTATTTCCCACGGGATTAATTTCAGACCCGCTTCAATCTTACTCAAATTCTTTTTAATCAGTTTCTCCTTTTAATCCTGAAGGAGTTCGTTCCAGACACAGCCATCGTAATTACACTTGAATTATTCAATCAAAGCCCCCCTTCCACCCCCCGTGTGGCACCGATATGGCGTACTTAATTTAATCCCAGTGGAATGACTTCATTAAAAGACTCTCTGTTCTGCTGGGTATTGTGTTGTTGACCCGAAAGGCCTTAATCCAATTTCGATTTCAAAACGGGCCTAACCCCTCGCTATTGTCGGTTTTTGAAGATGGATGGGGTGCCTTGACAGAACGGCAAAGCCTAAAACGTTTTGTGCCAGAACACGGAATATAAATCAGGATATAATCTCCTGATTTATACCCAAACTCTCATTTCTCATCCACGCTGGAATAAAACATTCACTAAATAAACGTCTTGAGCTATGCAAATGTGTTTTATTAAATAGCGTCAAGACGGATTGGCAGGGCTATACGCCTGGCCCTGTGTTCCTCGATGGGGAGGTTGGACAGAAACGTAATTCATGGGTGGATACCGTCTGAGTTGCCCGATCGCACTTCTTTTCTGCCGTCAGCATGTCCGATGAGGCCAGTAGCCAGTCCTCTGAAATGCAGGATGCCATCTTAACCCCAGGGGCAGATATGGGGGGCATTGTACTCCTGGGTTGCAGCTTAAATGTGGTTTTAACTGTCGTCGTCGTTTAGTCGTTAAGTCGTGTCCGACTCTTCGTGACCCCATGGACCAGAGCACGCCAGGCTCTCGTGCCTTCCACTGCCTCCCGGAGTTGGGTCAAATTCATATTGGTCGCTTCGATGACCCTGTCCAACCATCTCATCCTCGGTCGTCCCCTTCTCCTCTTGCCTTCACACTTTCCCAACATCAAAGTCTTTTCCAAGCAGTCTTCTCTTCTCATGAGATGGCCAAAGTACTGGAGCCTCAGCTTCAGGTTTTAACTGTACCTAGTTTTAATTCACATTGCAAACTTGTCTTTTGTTCAGCCCAGAAAAAGATGGGACATGATGATCTATTAAATAAATAAATGTCTTATTTATCTTCTGGTCACTTAACTTTTCATCTGTCCTTTTCAACAGAAACCTGTTTTTTAAATAATTATTATTTTAGCCCAGCGTGGTGGGGGAAGCCACCTACCCATGGACTTAACATGTTGTGAAGGGGTCCTCCCATCATTTATGACCCAGCTTGAAAAACAATCTGCTTTTTAGATTGCATTGAAAAACGCATCTACCTTGATCTTCTGGTCACTTAACTTTTCATCTGTCCTTTTCAACAGAAACCTGTTTTTTAAATAATTATTATTTTAGCCCAGCGTGGTGGGGGAAGCCACCTACCCATGGACTTAACATGTTGTGAAGGGGTCCTCCCATCATTTATGACCCAGCTTGAAAAACAATCTGCTTTTTAGATTGCATTGAAAAACGCATCTACCTTGCGCATGCACTCTCTCTCTCTCTCTCTCTCTCTCTCTCTCTCCCCAAAGTGGGCGGCTTACAACATTTAAAATACAATAAAATTTTGAACAGTTAAAATACAATTAAAATATATATATTTGCACAAAAGTTAACTGGTTAGATTGATTCAGAGGTGTCTGCTCCTAAACCCTCAGAGACAGCCTTGAGTTCCCTGCCATGTAGCCATTATTACATCAGTGGTCCCCAAACTGGGCTATAATGTTCTTGTAAATGTTCTTGGACTACAACTCCCAGAAGCCTTCACCACCAGCTGTTCTGGCCAGGATTTCTGGAGTTGTTGTCCAAGAACACCTGGGGACCAGGTTGCATTCGGTGCCTGGGGACCCCAGGTTGGGAACCACTGCATTCAGTGTTGCCAGTGGGCTCGTCAACCTGGCTGAGTCTTGTGCCTTTCGCGCAAACCTGATGGCTCGCCTCTCCGCGCATGCATGCATCTTGCTATATCCTCTTGGAACAGTCAGTGTTGTTCAGCAGTGAGAGCCGCAAAGTGTGTGAATAAGAGAAACTCTTGTGATGCCTTTAAGGCCAACAGATTTATTTCAGCATGAGCTTTTGTGGCCAGGAAGTCCACCTCTTCAGACATGTGGACTTAACGGTGTGCAGCCACCGTTACATGCGTGCGTTGAGCCAGTTTTGGGAAAACCGCACCAGAGTGAAGTAAGATAACAGAAAATGGCAGCACGCGGTGTGCAGAGGACGGGTTGCTCTGTTATCCTCACGCCGTGCAAGAGGCTTAACTGATCATAAACATCTGGGCTCACTGCTCCCTCCTCTTGGGGTGCCTGAGGGCCCAGCACATCTGGAGGGGGATCCGGCTCTGTGTGCGAGAGGAGTGTTGAGCACTGTCTCGGGCGGAACGTCTTCGTCCTTCCGGCCAGGTTCTTGTTTCCTGTCCTTCGGCGGCAGGACTTTTGCATGCAAGGCTTGCTTGGCAGTTTGAAGAAGACGGGAGGGAATCTTCCAGTGAGGCATTAAGAATCCCTCACTTGGAAATGTCCCCTAAAACAAAATTGGTCTGTAAGCTGTGGAGCAGCTGGTTCCGTTTAGCCCAGGCCGGGAGGTTGGAGTTGCCATGGAAGAGTTTGGGGGCAGTAGGGCCGCCCCTCTGCCGCCTCGGGCCTGGAATCTGGGGTTGTGTTCCAGATGGGTTCTGCTGAGTCTTGCAGCTACTCTGGGGGTCAGACCCGGTCGGTCCTGCAGAACGCTGGGCAGACGACTGCCCAGAAGGCCTGGGCGAAGGTCTGAGCAGATGAAGAAGCCGGGCAGCCTTGTGCCCCTCGGGGCTGGCTTTTCACTCCGTGTGGGCAGAGCCTGCACCGCGGCCCGGTGGGTCATTCGGGCCTCAAAAGGCTGACCTGTGAGCAGGGACGGATCAGGACTTTTGCCCACCCAAGAAACCTCTGGCTGGTTTGTGTGTCGGATCTAGAACTGGGTTGGGTGATGCTTCCCCGCGGGCCACGAAAGCCTCATGAAGACGGGAGAATATCAAGTCTTCCAGACGCTCAAGCTTGCCTTTTTGGGGTTAACCCGACCCTCGGCTGGGGCGCTTCTCCCCTGCGCCCCACGGTGCGACCGGTTTCCCTCTTGAGTTCTGAGTCCTTCCAGCTGCGAGACCTCGCGAGGAGGAGAGGAAGCGGCCCTCGGCGACTTAGCCCCCACTGGTCCTCCCGGGCCAGCCTTGTCGGTGCCTTGTGGATCTTTCGCTCCAAGATCTGGGGCAGAGAGAGAGAGAGAGTCCCCTGCGCCCCTAAGTTTGCATGCAGAGAAATGGTTTAGGAAGTGATCTCGGGGACCGGGCAGATCCAACGGGCATCCAGGCTTTCAGGTCCCTCTTCTCCTGGGCCACTGATGACCGTCCACACCTCTCCTCTTGAGCCCGTGGGACTTGTGGCCTTTCCCCCACAATTGCTTTGTGTGCAAGTCTGTAGGAGGGATGTGAAACTTCTCTTATTGCAGTCCTGCAAAAAAAGGATGGGGGGGGGAAATGGGACGTTTTCTCCCCGCTGGGCCAGAGAACTAGAGCTTCAGCCCGTTGGCAGCCGTTGCTCCTTTTCAAGGGTGGCTTGGTTTTCCTATCAGATAAAAGAAAAGATATACATTTTCTTTGCATCTTTATTCTACAAATGCTTTCCATTATCCTGCACCATTTTGGCTTTTTTTAATTGGGGAAGTTTATCATGGCTCTTGGCTGGGGCATACGGCACAGGAGTAAGTTATCTTTCGGAGTCCAGAAAAGAATAAAGACAAAGGTTTGGGCCTTTATTGCTCACCCCATGTGCTCACCCCTCTGTCTTGCTCCCCCTTCTGTGCATTGCAGCATCACCCCCAAGGATCTGAAGGCCATGCTTCCCCAGGTCAACTACCGCGTGCCTAACATGAGGTTCCTACGGGACAAACTTCTGGTAAGAAAAGAGCCTTTCCTCCTCAGCTGGTCTACTTTGTGTGTCAGAACTGGAAAGTATCTAGTTACAGATAATATATGTAGTAACATAGTTACTTATAACTAACTACTTATAACTAGTTACTAGTTGGTAACATAGTTATTTGTAACTAGTTACTTTTCTGGGTACTAGAGTGTAAGTTACTTTCCAGATGTAATGTAATGAGCAGGAACAAGTTGTTTTGTTGAGGCATGAGTATTTCTTAGCACTTCTGTGAGTTACTTTTCAAGTCCAGTCTCACAGCCTGCATAAACTTCTGCTGCTTTGCAGACATGGCCATGACCATGAAGTGTGGGGGGTGGTAGGGGGCGGGCAAGGAGCAGATGCCCCCTCCCCAAAGAGGGTGAGGAGGCTGCCCCTGCTTTTTCCATGAGCTCAGCCGACCTGTGCAGAAGATCTGGAGAAGGCTCCAGCATCCACAGGGCTTGAGAGGCAGAGGTGGGGCAGGCGCTCGCTCCCCGATGAGCAAATCTAGCGGAGTGGTAGAGCCCCTGCATTACGAGACGTTTCCAAAGTACTTTCGTTAAAATCGCCAGGCTTTTTTTTAAAAAGAAAAGAAATTAGCAGACCAACGCGGGAGAGATCTTTCCGAGGCCCTGCAGATCCACTGCCAGCTAGAAAGCAAACTGTCCTGTTAGATCCTTGGAACTTGGAAAAGTTACCTTTTAGACAAGAGCTCCCAAACTCCCTCCCCACCCCCCACCCCGAGCTATGATGGCCCTTGGCCCTGCTGTTTTTGAGGCACTCTTGAGAGTTCTGGTCCACATAAGAATTTTTTCCCCCAAGCTTTGCACACTTTTAGAAAACCTCATCAAGGCAATCCTCGTTAACTCTTCCTTTTATCTTCTTCGCCTGACTAGGAGCTGGAGGTGCGCAATGAACTTAACTTCAGCCACTTTGCACACTTCTATAAAAACCTCATGTTTGATGCCCAGAAATCGGTAAGTCAGCAGAGGAAGTCTTCCAACGCCTGATTGAAGGGGGAATCCTCTTTTAAGCTTCTGTTTTTATTGTCGTGTTTATCCTCTGCTGTGCTGTGGGCGTCTGTATTTTATGATATTAGGATTTCTTCTCCTGCAGGAAGCTGCCCTGGCCATGCGGATTCGCGGTGGAGGGATGGGGGCATACAAGAAAAACGCGTACCAAATTTGGTCACCAAAGGGTAGCCAGAACCGTCTTGGTCTCTGCCAAACTTGCCATGAGCAGCCATGGCTAATCGGCAAGGTGCAGGGTGGAAAATTTTGTTTGGCCCACCACCAGCATCTGCCCTGACACCTCATAAACTGGCCACAATTAGCTGTGACAAGTTACTTAGCTCTGACAGAAGTCCCAGCGGGATTCTGGCCCGTTCCTCTGAACAGGATGGGGCAGCTGGAAGACTGAGCTAAAGCATAAAAGGTACGGCGTGCAAAAAACATAGACTCCTGCTGTAATAGAGTCCGTGTGCCACAGTGTTGGGACATGGTGGCGCTGCAGGTTAAACCGCAGAAGCCTCTGCTGCAAGGTCAGAAGACCCGCCATTGTAAGATCAAATCCACGCCACGGAGTGAGCCCCCATCGCTTGTCCCAGCTCCTACCAACCTAGCCGTTCGAAAACATGTAAAAATGCAAGTCGATAAATAGGTACCACCTTGGTGGGAAGGTCATGGCGTTCCGTGTCTAGGCGCGCTGGCCACGTGACCACGGAAACTGTCTTTGGACGAACGCTGGCTCTACGGCTTGGAGACGGGGATGAGCACCGCACCCTAGAGTTGGTCACGACTGGACTAAATGTCATGGGGAACCTTTACCTTTACCACATCGTTGATTATGACGTCCTTGAAAGTGCAGGGGCGGGTTCGGACAGCTCACCCCTAAGGCCAGAAAAAGCCACGAACCTGTAGTTAGAGCTGAAGACACATTCATGTTGGGAGGGGTGATTGAGGATATCTTTCCGTGCTGGTGAAATTAGAGGAATCCTTTGCATAAACGTTGAGGCCCAGCCACCCATAAAGAAAGTAATCTAATTTCCATAATCCTAGACATGAAAGAAATTGCCTGCTGTGGCACTCAGATGCTTGCGTTGGTTAAGGACTTTTCTCGCCTATAACGTCTGTTTCTGGATTCACAAAGGTCAGCTGACCTGAGTAACTGGGATATAGGCCCTTCTTTCAGAATCACTTCCTGTATCTTTGTTCTTCCCTTGGCGCGCTCTGCTTCACACCTCTAGTCGTATTCCCACCAGGTGACTTAAATGTGGTCTTCAGAAATCTCTTGTTAAAGCATTCGTTGGTTAGCCTTGCGGCTGGTGGGTTGGGCTGCTGTGTTGCCAGCTGTGTCCCTCTTTTGTATTTCAGATCATTGAGCAACTGGAGTTGTCTTTCCCTTTACGGTAAGTAGGAAAGGACCCTTTCCGTTTCCGGGCTCTCCTGTTCTGGAATAGCTCCCTTCGCGGTGCTAAGGAGCAGTCCGTTTCCTGCCTCATTGTGTGGCTATCTTTGTGCGTCGACTCACATGGAAAGGGGAGCCGAGACCAGGAAGGGTGTGGACAGAGTGGTAAAGAGTCAGAAGGCTCGTTCAAGGATGAGCGAATGGCTCTTACATGCATCGTTCTGTCCTGGTAGATCTGGGGGGAAAGGGAGCCATCCACTCCTTGTTCCTTTTTCTAGAGGAGACCACCCCGCACCTCCAGGGAGGCTGCAATGGGGTCTGAAGCCCACACTTCCGTTTTTGGAAGGCTGTGGAAAATTAATCTGTTAACGCTTGTTCACTGAAATTTTCAACAGGAATTTCGGGATTTGTTATTTGTAATCATTAATTTTATCTTTGAGGGATGCCTGCCACTTCCCATTGCCTTAATTCGTTACTAAACATTTCTAACAAGTTTAAATGATTTTAATAATAGATCAACTTGACGAATTAAATCCGATGCATCAAATCTCCCCCCTGTTTTGCCGTTCTTTTAAGAATGCATTGTCCACACACCTCCGTGCCATTTAATGAGCACTTAATGCCAATTCGTTAACTAGTTGTTACTGCACACTTAACTGACTACTCAAAACTTCTCAGTGCTTAAACACTGACATACTAGAGCCGCCTAGAGTGGTCATATTGACCAGACAAGCGGGATATTAAATAAATAAATAAATAAATAAATAAATAAATAAATAAATAAATAAATAAATAAATAAATACTGTTTTTCTTTTATGGTTTTTCCCAGCATATGAGAGAAAGTACTCAGGTTTCCAAGCTCCTCTAGGGACTGGTGATCAGGGGTAGGCTGCCCCTGGTGATGGAGGTTCTGCACCGCCATTAAACCTAAGAACTGTCTCAACACCGTTCTAATTCAGAATTTTTCTAATTCCCAGGTCGTACAGTAGATCTAAGTTGAATGCAAGTGTTGCAAAGATAGAGCAAGGAAATTCAGTGACCCTGGGAATGCTGTAGGCATATCTTTCTGGGTGGTTTCATTTCAATTCTGCCCTAAGTTTGTTTGTTTGTTTGTTTGTTTGTTTATATAGTTATTTATATGCTGCCCACTCTACCCAGAGTCTGTTCATGTGTGGATTTAACAAACAGGCAGGAAGGAGATGGCTGGAGATACATGTAGATTTTTATATTTTTTTAATTGTGTGTTTTCTCCCTTTGACTTTCTTCTCAGAAACGTGGACCGGCCGGAACTCTGCCAAATCACATTGTACGACTTCCAGAAGTTCTTGCAATATGATCAGAAGGTATTCTTCGAAAGGAAGTGTATTTATTTTGCCACAAGGGTCTGAAGAATGAGGCTGGGGGGAGGTTGTCTGGCTTAGACTGAGACAATAGAGATGGCTTCCATCAGAAGCATCTATGAGGGGGAAAGGCTTTTAGTCACTGAAGACCGGTTGATTCAGCAATTGAGACCTTTGGGTCAAGCCGTAAATCCTGCCTGCTGAGAGGGTGTTTTTCACACAGCCATAGGATTGGAAATCATCTAATCCAAACCCCCCTCCTTTATCAGTTTAGGATTTGGAACGCAGGCTGCCGTGTTCTTGATAGAAAGCTTTCCAGCTCCTGTTTAGGCGTGTAGGAGATTAGCTTTCTTGTAGCTCCTCTTGTAAACGTCTTGGTGGACATTTCTTATTACAGTGGTGCCCCGCATAGCGACGTTAATCCGTTCCGGATTAATTGTCGCTATCCGGAAACATCGCTATACCTATGGAAAAACCCGATAGGAACGCATTAAACTTCGTTTAATGCGTTCCTATGGGGGGAAAACTTACCGATAAACAGGAATCCTCCATCCGGCCGCCATTTTCGCAGAGCTCCGTAAGCGAGGGCAGCGCAAAAATGGTTGCAGCGGCCATTTTGGAACC